GCCAAACTGGGCCGAGTATCTGAGACTGAAAACACGACTGTCCGCGAAGTTGATGCCTGTTTCTTCGCTGAGATCTCCAGCCAAGTGCTTCGCCAAGCTCTCCTCCAGCTCCAGATAGACACTACTTGTAGTTGCAAGCGGGCTTGGCGGCGAGCTGCGCGATCGGATCGCCCACGCCCCAGCGCTCGTTGTTCCATCGCCCTTGCCATTTCTTTGATTCGAAACTTCCGGACCTGTTCCAAGCGATTCTTTCATCATCGTTTCGGGATTTGAGGACTTACGAGCTGGAAGATCGACAAAAGAAAGGGCAAAAGGAGGATAGGGTTCGATTTTACCTCTCAAAAGCCTCGACCACTGAGAAACGTACTTGGAGTAAGAGTTCGCACCCTTGGAGGCATGGAGGGCAATGAGATCACTCTTCTGAAGGCCATGGGTGTTTGCACTGTGCTGGGAGATTCTCTCCAAGGGCAAGTAAATCTGTGCTTGAATTCTTTCTAGTAGTTGAGTTTATATGTATGGAAAGTGTGGGCTCATTGAGATGCATTTGATTGAGCGGGATGAAACACGATGATCACTGTCTATGTGTCGCATGAGTGTGGTAAGCAAGCAATCCACCTCTATGCATACTTGTGTCTGGAAGGGTTCTTATTAGTTGAGCAATAGTCTTGAAGTGCAATTATGTTTTAGTGGAGTTTTGAGCCTTGGACGATTGTCATTTAGCACATATACTTGGCATGGAAAGTTGCAATATACATTTCTGATAGAGCAAAATGCAGGCCTAAGGTAAAAAAAGATCACCTTCTCATGGCTTTAGATGCTTGTTTTTCTCTTGAAGTTCTTTGAACTGATAATCACAGTTGGTTATGGGTTGGATTTTTCTCTTTAAGTGGAAAATTTATGGAAAATGCAGGGATGCATACAATGTGTTTGACAACATGTGCTATAAAATAAAGGTGATCATTTGAATTGTCATGGTTACTGGACATGCTCAATGTGAACATTATTTACAGCAAGGTGAAGGAAAATAAAGGAATGAATTGCATAGTCTATGCAAAAATTTCATAATGAATTGATTCAAGTCTTTTAACCACAAAAGAGATCAGAACCTCTTGGTAAAATTGATAGTAGCCTGAAAAGATATTACTAAATAATAAGAAAATTTATTATAACTAGGAATGCCCTTAGTGAAGTTGGGAATTTTGCTTACCATTCTCATATATTTAAAGCCAAAGAGCCCATTAGCAAATAAGTTTTGAATTTTCTTACAATGCCCTAACACTAAATGCAATGTGATTTTAGCCCTCTTAACACACACATTTTTTTTGTTTTTGCAAAGTGATTCTATTTCTTTTTCTATATGGGGTAATTTATCTTTTCACTACTGGGCAGGAATATTGCACACTTTTGTGGCTTTGACATTTTAATATGTTAGGATGTATTATAAAAATTTATTAAATTTAGCATCAAATAGAACAAATAACAATTCTCATTGTACCACCCTCTAGAGACTAGGTAGTTGAAAGTAATCAAAGATAACAGAATTACATTATATATTGAGAATTACATGACAGAGAATTACATCATATGTTGAGAATTACATGATAGAGAATTACACCACATGTTAAAATTGACATTTAGTAAATTTAATTTGCTTTCAATTAAGTTTAACATAAATGGTAGGGTGTCAAAAGAGCAAAGCTCTTGGGAAAGTTGTGGCTTTCAACTTCCAATTATAAGCATAAACTTGTAAGGAAGTATAGTAAATTATAAGTAATTAAAAAGAATGAATTGAGAGACAATCTATAGTTCAAATATAGAGGGAAATAACAAAAGTACACCCTTTTTTCCAATTAGTTTGGGATACTTAAGGGGTTAAAACATGTTAGGTTTGAGTATTGGGATATTTGGGGGTTAAGTCTCCTTATGTTTGAGTAATACTGGGCTGGGTGGCCTCTCAAAAAATCTAAATTCAAGAAATGGTATATTTCTCACTCATCTATATAGCATGATTTTAAATTTAGTTCTCTTAAATATATTGAGCATAACAATTTTAGATCTGATTCTCTTAAATACATTGACCATGACACAATTGAGAAATGAAACTATGGTTATTTCCTCCTACTACATTAGCACAAAATTATTTTTCTTTTTATAAAGCTTTGTGATTTTTTTTCAATTTATCAATACTCTAGATTTTAGATGTGATTCTGAGGAAAAGGAGAAAGCCATCCTTTGAGGGAGGACAAAAAGTTGGCACTTCTTTATATTAAATATCTATAAATCCATTTAGTAAATTCTTATGAAATATGATTGTCTAACAACCTTTTTATTTATAATTTCTAATATATGAGAGACATTGTAATTTGAATTTCTATAATAAATCCACTAAAAACTATTAGTGAAATATAACTTTATATAAATTCCTGAGTTTGGAGTTTTTAAGAGGTCACCCAACTCAGTATTATTTAAACCCATGGATATTTCACTTTAAATATCCTAAGATATTGGGAAACGAGGTGCATTTTTATTCATAAGCCCTTTCCTCTTATATTTATACCCCATGGATCATCTTTGAAGTTGTTTTCTTTAGTTAGTTATAATTCATTACACTTCTTTGCAAATCACGCCCTTGTAAATGGAAGTTAAGAGCCATAGCTCTCTTGAGAGCCTAGCTCTTTTGACACCTTATCTCTCGAGTTAAGCCCAACCAGAGGCAAACTAAACCTTCCAATGTCAATCGCAATATATGGCATGATTTTTTAACTAATCAATAATGTCAGATCCAAGAACTTTTGAATACCATGAACTCCTAAATTCGAACTTCCTAAGAGGTTATTTAACCTAGTACTATTTAAACCCATAGATGCTTAATCACAAATATCCCAAAACCTTTTATAACAAAAGGTTTTCTATTATTCTCTCTGTGTCAGTTGATATATGTTCAAGTTTATCTGAAAAAGGGATGCACTCTGATATATAAGCCTTTTCCCTTTATATTTAAACTCTATGAATTGGCTTTCAAGTTGTTTTCTTTAGTTGTTTACACTCTACTATGAGACATAAAATCCCTAGGCCCCAAAGTGGAGTCGAAAGGGTGCCACGTGGTAGTAGCCAAAGTGAAAGCTAAATGAGCATAACTCGTTTGGACTAAAAGCTCTAACTTGAAAAGTCGAGAGGGGGAGTGGAACTCCAATGAAGGGCTCAAGGAACAAGCATGAAGCGAGCCATGAATGAGTCTCTAAAAAAGGGGACACAAGAGGACTCGAGATAGACCCGAGATGGAATTCAAGATGGAGTCCGAAATGGACCCGAGATGGACCTAAGATGGAATCTGAGATGGAGTTTGAGATGGACCCGAGATAGACTCGAGATGGAGTCTGAGATGGACCAGATATGGACCTGAGATGGAGTCCGAGATGGACTTGAGATGGACCCAAGATGGATTCCAAGATGGAGTTTGTGATGGACTTGAGATGGACTTGAGATGGAGTCCGAGATGGACCCGAGATGGACCTGAGATGGAGTCCAAGATGGAGTCCGAGATGGACCCGAGATGGAGTCCGAGATGGATCCGAGATGGACCCGAGATGGAGTCTGAGATGGAGTCCGAGATGGACCTAAGATGGACCCGACATGGAGTCCGAGATGGAGTCTGAGATGGATCAGAGATGGATCAGAGATTTAAACCCATGGATATTTCACTTTAAATATCCTAAGATATTGGGAAATGAGGTGCATTTTTATTCATAAGCCCTTTCCTCTTATATTTATACCCCATGGATCATCTTTGAAGTTGTTTTCTTTAGTTAGTTATAATTCATTACACTTCTTTGCAAATCACGCCCTTGTAAATGGAAGTTGAGAGCCATAGCTCTCTTGAGAGCCTAGCTCTTTTGACACCTTATCTCTTGAGTTAAGCCTAACCAGAGGCAAACTAAACCTTCCAATGTCAATCGCAATATATGGCATGATTTTTTAACTAATCAATAATGTCAGATCCAAGAACTTTTGAATACCATGAACTCCTAAATTCGAACTTCCTAAGAGGTTATTTAACCTAATACTATTTAAACCCATAGATGCTTAATCACAAATATCCCAAAACCTTTTATAACAAAAGGTCTTCTATTATTCTCTCTGTGTCAGTTGATATATGTTCAAGTTTATCTGAAAAAGGGATGCACTCTGATATATAGGCCTTTTCCCTTTATATTTAAACTCTATGAATTGGCTTTCAAGTTGTTTTCTTTAGTTGTTTACACTCTACTATGAGACATAAAATCCCTAGGCCCCAAAGTGGAGCCGAAAGGGTGCCACGTGGTAGTGGCCAAAGTGAAAGCTAAATGAGCATAACTCGTTTGGACTAAAAGCTCTAACTTGAAAAGTCGAGAGGGGGAGTGGAATTCCAATGAAGGGCTCAAGGAACAAGCATGAAGCGAGCCATGAGTGAGTCTCTAAAAAAGGGGACACAAGAGGACTCGAGATAGACCCGAGATGGAATTCAAGATGGAGTCCGAAATGGACCCGAGATGGACCTAAGATGGAATCTGAGATGGAGTTTGAGATGGACCCGAGATAGACTCGAGATGGAGTCTGAGATGGACCAGATATGGACCTGAGATGGAGTCCGAGATGGACTTGAGATGGACCCAAGATGGATTCCAAGATGGAGTTTGTGAT